CCTTACTCTGGCAAGTACCCTGTGGGTGAGCCTGCATAGTCTTTCCCACTCACTGGAGACCAGTGTGGTTGCACCACATTTCTGTCCTCTGAAAGTGACTGGTTGTCAATCCTTTGTTTAGGTTTATCCTAGTGTAGTGGGTGTAACTGGGTTGCATCATCTGCTGGTGGAACTGCCGCTACAGTTGCTAATGCATGCTACTTCCTCTGTGGGCACTGCTTACATGAGAGTGAGGACATCCCTCTTTCTCAGCTACTGTCTCTTGAGCTGATTGGGAAGTCCCTCGGTAAGCTTATCGACTAGGACGTCTTTCTAGTCAGCAGAGGGCTTGTCAGATAAGCTTTCCCATGATATCAGTGAAGATTGTTTGCATAGACAGCTAGTTCTTCAGTACCAGTTCTCTTCCAATCCATAGACTGGTCCTAGTAAGTTTCCTGATTCTCCGCCAGGTCCAATTGGTGATGTAGCTTGTATATGACTCTTCTAGGTGTCCTGCTTCATGTTGTCCAGATGTTCGACAATTTTGAGGACTGGATCATCTGAGCTCAGGACCAGGCACTTCACAGCCTGTTTCTGAGTCCAGTGATCTGCCTGGAAGTTATTAAGAACTAGTTTAGATATTTTTTTATTATCCCTTTGAACAGTATGTATATGATCTGCTTGGATTTGTTCACAGGGCCCTGTATGCTGTGCCTAAGCCTTCCTCTCTTGTAATCTTAATGGATGCAACTGACAGCTCAGTGGGCTGTTGATTTGTGGTCCATGGCTACAGGGCAATGAGTTACTCAGAGTGGCTCACTGTACAATCTTCTGCACAACCCCAGATATTGCAAAGAACCTTCAATTCTGAAAGTTATCTCATCCACTTGTGAAATCATCTATCTGCAGCACGTGCAGCCTGTGTCCCCTAGTTACTATAGTTTGACAGAGACCTCCTCATGCAGTCTTGAACTCACCAGGTACCATTTTACTTCAACAACCCTTTGGACGAGATCAATCCTCAAGGGTACTATCTGCTCCAATGGCCTGGGTACTCCAGATGCAAACAAGTCTTCTTGAGTCAGAGGTTGCAGGGGGACCATTGTCATAGACATTCACAGAATGAGAAAAAGATTTATCCTAGACTCAGCATCTCTTCCATACCATTGTCGGTATTTAATGAACCTTTCCTTTTGATCATAATTATTTCTGCATCCACAAAATGCCATTGTAATTATAAAACGTACTTCTTTAAGCTCAGAACACTCAAGATGTTAATGCTTTGACTATGACCTACTTACAATGTAAGTAGGTATGCAACTCTCATGAAAGTTCTTTACAAAAATGAAACTAGTAGATGAATTTCTTTTAAAGTTGAGATGAAAAGTCCTATAAGTATGTAGTTTTTGAAAAATAAGATATTTAATTTTGATTTTTTTCTCAATCAATGTTTTTCTCATGCATCTTTTTTTCTTTTCACATGTTACCTATCCATCATGCAAAGCAATTTTCATTTTAAGATTAAAAATACTTTTATGTAACAGAAAATTTTCAAATTTCACATACAAAATTCTTATAATGTCCAGATAGTTATCAAACACTTTTTAAGAAAAAAAAATTTTTATCTGTTATATTCACTAACGAATATCTGTACAGGTTTGGTCTATTTGACCAATCTCATAACCACCATAAAAAAAAAAATTAGGAAATAAATTTAAATTATGCCTTTTAATTCTAGAAAGACTACAAATTATAACACAAAAACAGAAATGTTTAGACTAAATAGCTTAAATCTCATAACATTATACATTTATATACATTTATTATTTTTATTATATTGACCTTTCATCTGTGCCTGGCTAACAATATAGAAATTACAATGATGCGGCTCACCTGCAATTATGTTACTGCATCTAATAATATAAAACTGACTATTAGTCTCTACAAAGTTACCTGTCTTGGTTGTGTTTTAGTGGACTAGTATTTTGTAAAATGCAGTCACATTTCAATTATTATACATTTTATGTATATATAGATTATTACTATTTACAAATAAGTTCTTAAACTTATTTTTCTTAACACATAGAACAGTAAATAGAGAAGTAAAGCAAACAATTATCTCTTCTAATTCCAACCTTTGCTGCTTGATGTAGGTTACTAAGCCTTTTAAAATTTTGCATGTGGAGGATATGAAACAAAATAATTTTTTTAGGTTTTATATATATATACAGTTGAATAACCAAAATATCATAAATTACTGTATCGATACAGTAGAATTCCACTATAATTGAAACAGAAACTTTGCATGTTGCATCCTGTTGTCATGACAAGTATCATATTGTTATATCCACCAATAACAGCAAATTTGACCATAAAATAAGGAGAGAGTAATGTGTATTGGATAACTTGAATGAGTTTTCTTATTGTGTGTGGAATAATGAAACTGAACAAGTTTATCAAAATAAAGACAGTTGCTTCCATTAGATCATGATTAGATCTTCAACTTTCTTTCTCTTGGGATAGACTTCTGTCAAACTAAACACAATGATACTGGAGTATGACTTTACTTAAAAAACTCCAGGTAAGAAAGCATGCTTCAGTTCTACTTGGTTTCTTTGTCCAGTCAATAGCATCACTTTGTGACTTTTCTTTCACTGTTTTGGTTAGCTGTAACATACAGACTGTGTTGTTTCAGCCAGAAAAGGTTTTTAGAGTTGCTAATCCTTTCAACCTGGATGTTAAATGTTATTGCAGTTTCATTTCAGGCAAAATAGACATTATCTAATATAGAGAACATAGAAACAAAGCATCTAGAACAAGGCAACCTCAGTGACTTTCTGGACCATATGGCTATGTTAAAACTATATTGAAACTAAAAAAGGATTTTCTTTTTAATTATGTATCACTAAAACAGGTAGAAAACGATATGCCTGAATATCACACCAGAAGCATTTCAGGTCATTTATCTGCATCTATATAGAAGAACCTCTAGCAACAAAAGCAGAGAAGAAGCTTAACCCTCTCGCTATGTTTCTTCCTGTGGTCAGAGGTTGAAGAGCATGTCATCATGTTTGTAGATTTACATCCAAAATTTTATTGATCTACTATTTTATGAATGTATGTCAATAAGTTTGGTATCACATTGTAAATTTCAGTATTTTACATCAGTTAATTTCTTAATCTAAAACTAAATTCCTGAATATCAATTTTTGTGTGTTACATAGTATGTTGAATACAGCTTTGGTTCTAATTATGTGTTTGTGATGTCCAAATACTAAGTCTATAGTTTTGTAAGAATTAGAAACTGAAGTTATCAATACTGAGAAGCTAGAATATAAAATAAGAACGTTCTATCTTTTCTATTTGCCAAGATATTGCTACATTTAGTGAATCAAACACAGTGGCCCCACTCACCTACCGCTTTCCATTTTTGGAAATACTTAAATACACCTAATTCTGTCTATGATGTTCGAATAACCAATTGAAAGCTCAGAATGCCCCCTAGTGATTATTGCAGTCTTTAGAAGGTGGGAAGTTCCCAAGATTATTTTTTTGTCTTGAATCACAAAAGGAAATGGTAAGTGAAAATGTTGTCCAAAAAACTTTTTTTTTTACTCAAATACAGTTTAGTTAGTAAGTCTGATAAATTACAGTGGAATTCTGCAATACTGTAGAGTGATTTTTAATATTTGGTTATTGAACAATGCATATTACAAAACCTAAAAACATTATTTTGTTTTACATCCTCTGCAAGTGAAATTTGACATGGCTTACCAAATTATGGTAAGTGGGGAAACGAGTACAAAGTTTGTAAGTTGAAAAAAATCATTGTTTTCTATATTTATTTATTTAATGTTGTATTTTTAAAGAAAAATAACTGAAATTTAGAACTTATTTGTAAATAGTAATAATATGTATAGATATGCATATGTAATGTATTGTAGCCAAAATGTGACTGTATTTTACAAAATACTGGATCACTAGAACAAAATGAAAGCAGGTCACTTTGTAAAGGCCAGTTTTATACTATTGGATACGGTAACATGACTGCACGTGCGCTGCATCATTGCAACTTCTGTAATGTTAGTTAGACATGGCTGAAAGACCAGTGAAATAAAATATATATATAGATGTATAATGTTATGAGATTTAAGCTATTTAGACTAAACATTTGTGGTTTCTTGTTGTAATTTGTAGTCATTATAAAACAAAAAGCATAATTTGTATCTTTCGTAATTTTTTTATGTTGATTATGAGGTTGGTCAGATCAACAAAACTCATACAGAAATACAATAGTGAAAATAACAGATAAAATATAAAGTGTTTTCTTAAAAAACTTTGATAATTATCTGGAGGTTATAAAGATTTTGTATGTGAAATTTGACAACTTTCTGATGCATAAAAGTATTTTTAATCTTAAAATCAAAATTACTTTGCATGTTGGATAGTCAAAATTTAAATAAAAAATGCAGGAACAAATCATTGCTTAAAAAATCTTAAAACTTAATACAAAAATTGATATTTTGTGTACTAAAGCCATGTAATGTTTACTGATAATCTGCAAAATTTCATGAAGATACACTTACTCTATTAAAAGTTATAGCATGAAAAATATAACAAGCACAAAATGATTATGAGGTTGGTCCCTGGGACAAAGCCAGTAGGAAGAGAGTTAAATCAAATATAATCTTGAGTCAGCGGATTTCTTTTCCTATTACTTGTTTTATTATTTTTAATGTATATCTAACACTCTTTCAAATATGCATGCAAATGGGTCTAGGTTGTAATGTCACTGATACCATCATAACACACAAAGCATATTTAATGAAGAAAGGTGTACTTACTAGTTGTTATTGTGAATCATATTAGTTTTAGGAGTGTTTTGTCAGACTGTTGATGTGCAGGTAGATACAATATCTACAAAACTGAGAGATGATTAGAAATATCAGGTTTGTCTTTAAATGGTATCTTTTTTTGTATCAAATCTTCTGTATTAAAATCAGTATATTTGTAATATATAGGCAAAAGATTTGTACCAGAAGGGTGTTCATTTGCCATGTCCTCTTGGTTGCCATGCCGATATATATAAACTGATGCTAGAATGTTGGTCTAGAGATCCAGATATACGCAAGCAACCACAAGCAATCGTGCGAGACATCTATCAAACATTGTATGAAGGTAAAATTATGTCTTACATTTTCTTCAGTGTGATATATGTGTGTGTGTGTGTGTGTGGGTATAATTCTGTTACTTTGAAAATGTAAGTATCTGTTTGTCTTTATTAATTTATATATACTAGTGGTATATTTTTGGTTTGTATTCACAAAAATCATAAAAAATGGTTGAAATTTTATATAGGTGTACTTACAAAAATGCCAGACCTGGTACATCTCTGTTTAGATGGGAAATTGGACATTTCTGATAAGGTTTAGAAGTGTCTCAGATCTGGGTATCTTATATCTATGTGAAATACAGAGAAAAGAATTATCAAACAAAACATGGATATTTATGTTGATTAAATTAATTTAGTTTTTGATGCTAGATTCTGATTTTCACTGCTGTACTTAATCAGTTAGCTGGTACATAAGGTAGTTGTATTTTTAGAATGTTTTACTTATGAAAATGTCTAAGTACCCTTAAATGAGTACTATTTTGTAATTCTTGACAATAATTATAAATCACAATATTTCTAAGTATAACAATAACTTGTGAGATTACTAGTACATACAGGATAACACAAGTTACACACAAACAACTTTACAGTTTTATATAAATGCAACTGTATCAAGTCGTGATGTTAAACAGAATGTCCACAACTGTATATAGGTGCATTTTCACTGTACAAAGGGATAATAAACTTAACAGCACTGCCATTTCACTTGTTAATACTATCTGCAAAATGTATTAACTCCAATTTTCCAAACTTTCCATAAACAGTACCTTATGTCTAAGGTTATAATTATGGAAAATATTTTATTTCAGACATTATTGGGTAATGTTAGAGACAATTCTGAGAGAAACAGGTTATTCAAAACCGTTCAGGGCAGTTTTCTTCAACAGTTGGTAAGGGAACTTACTAAGAAGAGAATAATTTTAGATTTGTTATTAACTTCTAGTAAAGAAATTGTTGATAGAGTTGAAGTTGATAAACAACTGGGTACAAGATTTGCTGTTTTTCTACACATGGAGATAAGAAATGTGAATTTTGGCTCCAAATTTTAAAAAAGCAAGTTTTGAAGAGATGAAACAAGAATTATGTGCTGTGAATTGGGCAAAAAATGAATTATTTGGAGATAATGATAAAATGTGGAAAAATTTTAGAAATAAATTTAGATATTCTAGATAAGCATGTTCCTTATAGACAAAAAGGGATGGCTGCAATAAAATCCCAGGTTAACTCAAACGATATATATGTGATAAGAAGTTTAAATTCACTACAATGATGGGAGATTTAAAAGATTATAGAAGATCAAAAGAATGGGAACTTAGGAAATAAAAATATAAGGCAAAAGATTGGCTGAAAATGTAAAAATAAATAGTAAGGATTTCTTCAAATATGTTAAAGGTAAACAAAATGTTAGGATGGGAGGGAGAGCCTTTGAGGGTTGATACAAGAAGGCTAATATTTGATGATTATGGGATGGCTGAGTTAATGAAATTTACATTTTTCTTCAGTTTTTACAAATGAACATTTAAGCAATATTCCTCAACTTGAATAGTTGCTAGATGAAAAAAAGATGATCACAATAAGCTCCTGGTCCAGATGTTATTTACCCAAGGGTTTTGGAAAAGGTAAAGGATTGGAAGTTGGCTAATGTTATTCCTGTTTTTGAAGGGAAGTAATAAAAATTGTCCCAATAACTACAGGCCTATTAGTCTTGCATCATTGTTGGGAAAAGCTTATGCAAGTCTGATAAAAGGTACTTTACAAAGTCATTTAACAAGGTATAAATTTTTATTCATAGTCAGCATGATTTCAGTCGGGGAAAATGTTTCCTTAATAATCTTTTGACATCCTTTGAAGAGGCTACTCCATATGTAAATGGATGTGGATGTAGTGTATCTGCATTTTCAGAAAGCATTTGACAAGGTGCCACATAAATGGCTTGCTAAAAAAGTTATCTCTGTAGGTGTGGGGAATAGGTTGGCTTATTCTGTAGAAAACTGGCTTGATGAAAGAAGGCAGAGGGTTACCATAAATGGAGTTCAGTCAAACTGAATTAACATCACAAGTGGAATGCCTCACGGCTCAGTCTTAGGACCTTTGTTCTTTTGATTTACATCAATGAAATGGATGAAGGAATGGTCAATAGATTATTTATATTTGCAGATAACATTAAAGTTTTAGGTTTTGCTAGCTGTGAGGAGGATTTGATTTTTTAGTAAGTTAGGCAAACAAATGGTAGTTGATTTTTAATTGTAATAAATGAAGATAATGCATATACATTATTACAATGCAAAATATGAGTATCATTTTGATGGGAATAACCTTAACAGTGTTGTGGAAGAAAAATATCTTTGTGTTGTGATTGATCAGTCTCATAAGCCATCTAAGCAGTGTGCTGTTGCTAGTGTTAGGGCAAATAAGATTTTAGGTTGTATCTACAGAAATATTGAAAACAAGTCTAAAAAGATTTTAATGCCATTTTATAAGTCACTGGTAGACTACATTCGGAATATTTGTTCAGTTTTTGGTTCCTTACCTTTGAAAGGACATTGGATTGTTGGAAAGGGTTCAGAGGAGGGCTACTAGGGTGTAACATGTGATGAACAGGTTAAGATCTCTGAACTACCTTACTCTTGAAGATAAAAGAGTTAGAGGGGATATGATTGAGGCATTTAAAATTGTTAGGAAAGAATGGTAAGAGCCACAAGTATGAAGTTTGGCAGGGTAGGAGTCATCTTTATCTAAGACAGCTTAATTTTTCTAATGTTGTGTTAGGCCTCTGGAATGGGTTGCCTTCAGGTGGATGTATTTAATTTAAGGGAGTTTAAGGGAAAGTTTGATAAATATCTGAATGGCTAGCTTGGAGTTTTTTTATATATTGCACAATCTGTACAACACCACATTAATTTTAAATGTTAGTTTTAAAAAATGTTGAACCTTTCCTAGAGAGTAGATCAATAATTACATGCATTTGAAAAGAAAGCTTTTGACTATTTGCAAGAATTATGAAAGTATGGAATGAAATATAAATAGTACTGAGGCAAAATCTAATTTTTATACCCATTAATCTTATTTGTTCATGGAGTCATAAATTATAAAATAAGAACCACTTGCCACACCCACCCGTCACACCCCTCTTTCACAAATTGTCAGTAGTTCTGTCAGATGTTTTATAACATTATTCATAACCAACAGAAAGACGAGGTTCTAATTTATCAAATGTCGCATAATGATACATTCAGTACAGAGTATATTGTCTATTTTGTCTTAAGTTTGAATGTTTCTCTTGCAATGTTTAGATTGAGAAACTTTGAGAATTATTTTAAGGCTCTTATACCGTATTTAGAAAGCCAAATAAATTATGATGGTTATAGGACATTGTTTGCTTTGCGCGAGTTGTTACTCTGTGTTCTTAGATGCATTATATGAGTAAATAAAAGTTATTTAGTGAACAAGTGCCATTAGTATAAGAAAGTAGGCTTAAATTTCACCAATAACTAACAGCAAAAAAAAGAGACCAAAGATAAAAACTATATTTCTTGTTCTTCATGTATATTCTTTATTTATTATTATAGAAGTAAGTAAGTAAAATGTAAGAATTAGAAACTTGTAAGCTTAGATTAAGGAAGATAATGAAAGATAATAATAATAATAATTAAAAAAAATTCTTCATGAATTATGCTCATGAGTAGCTCATGTGTTACATCACTCAATGTGGTAACATGAGCTACACATTTGCCAAGTGATTTACAAGTTAAAAAATTTTATATTTTATCTGTTATTTTTCTACATTAACTCTACCTTAGAAGGTTAATCGATTTTAGTGACCTCATAACCACCAAAACAAAATCAGAATAAATCCAAATTACTCTTTTTCTTTCTAGAATGGCTTCCACTTGTAACATGAAGCTAAATTTGTTTATCCTAAGTAGCTTTAAACTCATAACAGTATACATATATTTATACTTAAATTTTATTGTTTTGTTGTGTCAACTGTGTCTTAACTACTGTTTGCACCATTATAAGTTGTAAATCACTTAGCAGATGTAGCTCATATTGCACTACTGAATGACATATGCATGAGATACTCATGAGTGTATCTCTTGAAAATTTTGTATTACATTATTGTTATTTATTTCACCTATTCTAACTTTATTTAACCTAACAAGTTTCCTATTTTTACATTTTAGTTACTTTTATAGTAATAAATAAATAAAGAACATACATGAAAACAAGAAATAAAATACCTGCATCTTTGTTGTTGTTTTTTTTGCTGTTCACTGTCATTGACACTTAACCCTACTTTTTCATACTAATGGTAGTACTGCATTAAATAATTTTTATTTAGTTAAATAATGCACCAAAAAACACAGAATAATAATGTGCAAAAAGCAGACAATGTCCTATAATTATCACAATGTTTATGGATTTCTAACTATGACAAGGGCTGTTAAAAATTCATCTAAGCTCATTGATATGTTTCCCATGGGAATAAAGCTCGAACTGAAAGCTAAATTGACAATTCTCTGTACAGAAGACAACGTAATATAACATGTCATTTCATAGATGAAAATTTTGGCTTCGTATTGGTTATAAATAATACAGAAAATGAAACCATAAAGACATTTCAAGGCAAGAATAACAAAATGTGTTTTCTTAAAACACCAAATGACAATTAAAATCTAAATGATTTCATCCATGAAATATCATGTAGAATGTAAGGTTATTTATGTAAAAACCATACAAATTAAACAAAACATCATAAAACAACAAATATCAGCCCTTAAAGATTTGTGAAATACTTCACACATTATCATAGTAAAGGCTGGCAAATGTGGTGAAACCATATTTATGGAAACAGAAGATTATAACAACTTATTACAAAAACACCTAAATGATTCAGAGAACTATCCAAAAACCTTAACAAATGTTATGAAAAACAACCTACTTTTTCAGTTAAAAAAGAACAATTACATCACAGAAGATGCATACAACAACTTAAGAGTCACCAATGCATATACCCCTTGTTTGTTTGGTGCTTCTAAAATTCACAAAAATGCAATTGACATCTACCCCATCCTTTCAACTTATGGTAGCTATAATAATGAGTTTGCATTGTTCTTAGATTTTCTATTGTTGCATTACAATAATAAATACAAGGCTAATAGTGTTCTAGAATTCTGAAGAATTCTCAACAACTTTAAAAATCATCACAAAATGTACAGTTTGGATGTAGTCATCATGTATACAATGATACCAAAAGAAGGAGCAACAAATCTAGCTCTAGAAACGTTGTCAAAATATTCCAACACGTTGTATTGAAACTGAGCTTGGAATTTTTGAAAGATTTGTATCACTTTGTGCTGAAAATATGTTTCACTTTCAAGGTAAAACTTATGAACAAATAGAAAGCCCTCTGTCATCGGGGTTATGTGAATTGTTTATCAACAAAACAGAATATTGGGCCATTAACACAGCTTTACATCCTCTCACACACTGGTTTAAATGTGTTGGTTATGTATTTCATAGATTTGAAGAAAACAACCATCAACACTCACTTCTACAACATGTAAACAACATTCACTCTAATATCATGTTCACTTATGAAGAAGAGAATGAAAACCAGGAATTATATTACATGAACATAACAATAGAAAGATGTTTTAATGTGAAAATCTTCCACAAATTTGGTAATGGTAACAACTATATAAAATGGGACTCGGCGTATTCAACTAAAAATATTGACACGTTATCATGCATTTACAACACAACATTTAACATATGTAGTAGGAGCAATCTGCAGCATGAACTAGAATCAATATCTGATACATTTATTAACAAATGTCACTTCCCTAAACATATTGTCACTAGAACCTTAACCAAATATAAAACAAACTCAATAACAGAAAGAAAAGGAAAACACCATTGTGGACTATACAATACCATGTGGCAATAACAATGAACTTGAATGGGCATGTACTACTTTCACATGAACTTGTGGACTATACATTACCATGTGGCAATAACAATGAACTTGAATGGGCATTTACTACTTTAACATGAACTTGTGGACTATACAATACCATGTGGTAATAACAATGAACTTGAATAGGTATGTACTACTTTCACATGAACTTGTGGATTATACAATACCATGTGGCAATAACAATGAACTTGAATAGGTATGTACTACTTTCACATGAACTTGTGGACTATACAATACCATGTGGTAATAACAATGAACTTGAATGGGCATGTACTACTTTAACATGAACTTGTGGACTATACAATACCATGTGGCAATAACAATGAACTTGAATAGGTATGTACTACTTTCACATGAACTTGTGGACTATACAATACCATGTGGTAATAACAATGAACTTGAATAGGTATGTACTACTTTCACATGAACTTGTGGACTATACAATACCATGTGGCAATAACAATGAACTTGAATAGGTATGTACTACTTTCACATGAACTTGTGGATTATACAATACCATGTGGCAATAACAATGAACTTGAATGGGCATTTACTACTTTAACATGAACTTGTGGACTATACAATACCATGTGGTAATAACAATGAACTTGAATGGGCATGTACTACTTTAACATGAACTTGTGGACTATACAATACCATGTGGTAATAACAATGAACTTGAATGGGCACATACTACTTTCACAATGGTGTTATTCATTGATAATTGATTGTTTAACTTTCATACATAATGACAGACCGATATAAATGTTTAATTTATGGGAAACGTTAAAATAGAAAATCAGCTAAGAAGCCCTAACAAAACCAAAGTTCAAGATATTATATTGATTACAGCCAGGCATTTCAAGCATGTTCAAAATCTATGTTTGTTTGTTTGTTTTTATAAGGGATATTACAGTACATAGTGCATAATACTTATTATAATTATGGCCATAAAGTATGCATTTTGTGCACAGTGTATCCAGAAGAGTAATTTAGAAATAATATTTGTCTTAACTTTTTCTCATATTTCATCTGTTTATGAGAGCCATGTAATTCTAATTTTGGATTTTATAAATATTTTGTATTAGAATTAATATTCCTTTTGTGTAGCTCTTATTTGTAGAGATTTGTGTAAGTAATCCTTGACTATTTTTCTATCAATGTTCAGTATATAACTCCAGAAGAAACCATTCTTATGCCACTGTTGACCCTCAACCTACATTATCACAACCACCTGAGGAAGTTTTTCCACCATCTCTTCCTGACCCTCCACCATCATTAGTTCAGCAAGGAAAAGGGAATGGAAAAAAAAATTGGAAAGGAGCTTTTGGAATAGTCACCAATAACAGTTACAATCAACTTTCCTTGTATAGTGGCTCTAGTGAGAAATCAACAGCTACCTGTCTTTCTCATGTAGAAAACACCAGTGGTGGGCCAACTAACTCAGTAGACAGTTTGATTCATATAGATAATAGGTTATTACATTTATATTTTTCTTGGTACAAAACCCTCCTGAAAATTTATTTTTTCTGGAAAAAACATTACTAAAGGGAGTAACATATTTTTATTACTTATTCCAATATTTTCACATGTAGTCATAATACTGAAGTCTATATTTGTAGCAAAATAACTACATAGTTATATCAAAAATATGTCATAACATTTTTGTTTGTTGTTTGCATCAATATTTTAGTAATAACTGTGTAAGTTAGGTGAAGGTTTCTAGAAAGTTGTTCTTCATATGTGGATATAATTGCAAACAAGAGACCATGACACAAATTAAGCTGTCATCACCTTAATTTTTTGTTGTTATTTCAATAGCAAGCTTTTATACCTTGTCCAGAGATTGTCTACAAGTCAACTGAACACTGTAATGTGTAAAATACAAAATCTGAAGTCAACATAGGAAGGGACTTGTTGACAAATTGTAGAGTTTAAATTGTTGCATGAGCCTTATGTCATGTCCAGCATTTCTAAATTTTTTTCTTTTTTTTTGATACATATATTGTTTAGCAACCCTGAGGACAGTTCTAATAATAGTAAAATAGGATACTCACTATTGACAAAATTTTTTCTAGCATTTGAGTGCTTTCCTAGAATTCTGATTTCAAGTAGTTTTTTTTTCATAACATTCACTTATTTCATGATCTGGCTTTTGATCTGACTCTTATGTTTGGTTATTTTATGACTTGTATTCATGGTATAACATAATGGAGAAATGTAGCTTTGATTTGGTATGGCTGAAAAATTCAAAATATTCAGGGTGGATGTAAAATACTTTTTATCATTACAAAGCCAAATTTAAAGTTTATGTGAAGATCACTGATTTTAGTATAATGGACGAGTTGAGTTTAATGTGCCACATGGTAAGTAAAAAAAGTATTTGTTAAATTTCCGATATGATATCTCACCTCTAGTCACAAAAAGCTTTCTCGACTTATACTGCCCTCTGTTGGCGCAAATTTCCTCTCACTAATAGCCTTGATACTCCCAATTATCTCTGCATATTAACATGCAAATTAGTATGCAGAAACTCTCCACCAATAGGAGTCCAACACTACCCCTATTGTAACTAGCGCCCTCTATAATCGTGCAGGTGTTAACCACTTCTCAATTGGCACTCTTACTGAATAGACGTGTTTTCACTCATGGTTTAATTCACTTATCCAAGTCAAAGTGGAGAAGTCTTTCTTCACACCCACACATATTTTTGGTTTATCTCTGGGTGGTTTTAAACTTCCTCCTGTGTCGGGCTCTACCTGCTCAACTTCAGTTGTGAGCTATGAAATGTATTGTATGCAGCATCTCATCCTCTCCTTCTCCTACTGCGTGAGAGATTCTCTTGTATTGGGATGTGCTTCTTTCAAAGCCCTCATACCCTTTGGTCACACCCTAATGTGTCATTGTCAGTGGGTTTGATAGACCAATGGAATCTTCTTCAGGATCCCTTAGATGGCCCCTTCCCTCTCCCTTACAAACTGACTTCGACTGGTGGTTGGAGTGGTCTTGGGATCCTCACGTATTTTGGGTATTGTGTGCTCTGTGGGGTGTCCCAGGTTTGGACAATTTTGCCACTCATCTCAATACATCACTTCCCTGATTTTGGTTACCTGTTCCTCATCCTCTGATAGGAGCAGTTGATGCTCTTAGCTGAGATTGGTCGGGTTGGTACTAATATGCATATCCTCCTATTTGTCTCTTCCCATGTGTCCTGGCCATACTTCAGACCACTCCATGTAGTGTTTAGCTGGTGGCTCCGTATTGGCTGGCTCACACGTGGTTTCCACTGCAGCACCAGTTGTTGGTGTTGCCTCCCCTTTTCTCTTCCTTTATCTCCAACACTCTTCCATCACTCACACTCTAGCATGCATCATCCGTCTGTACCTGCAATCTATCTTCATGAGTGGCTTTGTCCAGTCCTTCACCTGAAGAGCCAGGCTTTTGTGTGTAGCTTTCTTCGTTTTCTGCCCCATTAGTCCTTCCTCTGTGGCAGTATACCAACATGCATGGTATACATACTGCTGTTGGTCTTTCTTAAGGGATTATCATTCCTTCTCATCCTACCATTCCTCACATACCATCCTTTTTGCCTTGGTTTTTTGAATGATGCATTTTGGTTGCCTCTGTTGTGGACTATAGGGTGGTGTTATATGCCATGTTTTGGTTTACTGACTTTGCTTGTGTTTTCCTGTTGCCAGTCTTATCTATGTTGTTTCATTCCTTCTGCTTTTCTCATCCTTCCTGCCCTGCTTCCCTTCCTGATTAGCACCTGTATGTGATCCTCCATGTGCTTTCCCATCCTTCATTTGTGTTCATTATATCACCTTTTCTTGAAGTCCTTGTTCCTGCTTTTGTTGGCATGTGAATGTTATTGCTTAATGTGTTTGTGATTGATGTTCGTTACACTTTTGTTTCCTTTGTTCAAATATTCTCCTTCTTTCCTGATCATTTCTTTATGCCCAAGATTTTGGCTGCTGGAGAGGGTACTTCTACTTTCACACCTTTTTCCTTTCCCTTCATTTCACACGTTTCTAACTGTTCCAGTCCTGCCCACCTTCTTTGCCTGGTCAGGGCTCTCCAGTAGTATATGCCACATACTGTTCCCTTCCATGGTTCCAGAGTCCATTTGTTTCTCTCTTGAAATCCTCAACTCTCCCATGAAGTTTTTTTACATTACCCTTCCAGGATAATTCATCTAGCATTTTCTTCCTTTTCTCTTGATGATTGTCGCTTTTTTTGTGTTTTCTTTCTTTCATATCTTTCAACCCTACCATGTTTCTGGCTGTACATTTCCATCTTCTCTTAGGGGATATCATCAGTGCTGTAACTGTTTTTCTGTGGATGGTAAGTAATCGGTTTTTTTGTTGTTGCAGGGGCCTTTATTGCATTTTTGGATCTCAGTCTGTGGCGAGTGTTGCCTGACCAAGTATACTTAGTTTTAAATCTGCAATGTATGACCAGTGATAATGTACCATGCTAGATGACTGTGATGTTGCGGCTCTTCCTACCACAGACCTGATGTACAATTCCATATACTTCCAGGTGTTGTTGATCACCTTCGTCAATGTGTTTTCTGTGCTATCAAAATACAATGTCATAACACATATCCAAATCATATTACACCCATCATTGAGATGGGATGTTCCACAGTGCTGTTCGTAGGTGTATCTTGCAGTCTTTTGCTTCATAACTATGTTTGTCCAGGACCGTACACTTACGGACTAACATGAGTAAAGCAGACACGGATTATTGCCCATCTCTGATGGTCCATGGCATTTGAGGTTTTTTTCACTGGAGACCTGACATACAATTTCAGATGCCGCCAGTTGTTGGTTGATTGACTCCATCAATGTGATTGCTCTGCTTTTCAAAATAGGGTATCATGGTTACCCAGTGCACTGTATTTGGTGCTGCTGTCCTCTGGGCTCTCCAGTTCCTAGCCACTGGGGTGGTGGACTGTGGAGGCCTGTTCTCTTCAGTGTGCACAATACCACTCAGTTGAGAGTATGATGCTGACATTCTGCTGGTGTAGATGGCATAACACCCTTCCCACCACAGACCTGATGTACAATTCCAGATGCTGCCAGGTGTTGGATGTAGCACTTTGCTATATATTGTAATTTGCCCCTCCAGCTGAGGAGGCATCCTCTTTCCTACCATCTTCTGAATGTTAGTTCCCAGGGATTGGGTGTTGGTTGGAGTCAGACCAGCCACATAGGTCCTCACATGAGTTTGGATGGTTACCCTCCTCCTACTACAGACTGGGCGATAAATTGCCAATGCCATCAGGTTTTGGACCGTAGATGCATCCCATATAGCCATCCCTCTTCCTACTGTCCACTGGATATTTTTTCCAGTGGATCTGGTATTCGTTGTAGCTGGATGAGATGCATTAATTCTCTCGTGTGTAAGATTGGCTATTCTCCTCCTACTGTGGACTAGACAAAACATTCCCAATGCCACCAGGTTTTGGACTGGGGATGTTCACCCACCTGGGCCCTCTAACTAGCTTTCTTCCACCTGATGTGGATTCCTGGTGGATCTGGTGTTGATTGTGTTGGAGGTGTACACTTTCAGAGGCAAATTCTTGGTACAGAAGCTCCTCTTCCCTGCCAGTATCTGTTCTTGAGGTGAAATGTAAAGGACCTTCTTCCTACCATGGAACTAATGTACAATTCCAGATGTTGCCAGGTGTTGGTTGAGGTCAATCTCCTCTTTATGGTCTGTTTCACCCTAACCACTCTACATTAGGGGAGTCTTATTTTTTCTGTAGGTTTTATTGGTGCCCCTCCTTTGTTTTCACTCTTTTATTGACACATTACTAAAGGGCAAATAGTATACCTGGCTCAGAAGTGGTGCAGTCTCCCACAGGTATGTTGTTTTTAGTTCCTACTTGGAAGGAGGATCATCTTTTCACTGGCCATCTACCTGTTCAGTGTGGGATTCTAGCTTTTTTGTAAATGGAGGTAAGATATCATTTTGGAAGTTAACATTTTCTTAAACTGAGAATGTATTTCTGATAGATACTTACCTCCTCTCACATTTCCTGCCTGTCTTTCCCACTTCCAGTGTGGTTTGGTGTGATCTGACCAATCTTAACATTACAAAACAAACTTCACGAATCTTAACATTGCTTCAGAAGCAAAAATGGCTTGAACCTACATCGATATGATGCCTTCAATGGCTCCTGCTACATTGCATTGCTAGTGCATTCTGCCTTGTAATTGTGCAATGTAATTCTTGCTGTTTGTGGTAGAACAAATGGCTCCTTTTTATTAATTTCTTATCAAATAAACCCATGTTACCCTTTCCTACTTGATCTGAAGTGTGTCATCAAAGATTTAAGGGAAAAATTAGTGAAAAAAAAGCAACATGATTAAGCATCAGCTGTTTACAAGTTGGTAAGAAAAACTGTTGTGAACTAAAACTGAACAATTAGTGGAATTTACTAATCAATTAATTATTTGGTTAACTGATTTATTACATTTGACTAATTAATTATTCTCATGCAATGGCTAAAAACAAAAAAAAACTTAAAATACTAAAAATTAGGTTTCAATACCTATGATGGGAGAACACAGACAGCATATTGTGTAGGTTTCTGCTTAACAACAAATGAGTATAATGGTAATATTTCAAGCACTTGGATACTGGATAGTTAAGATAATTGAAAATCCTAATTTAGGTTAGTTGATTATATTTGTGAATCATGATACTAATTGCTTAATCTGAACGAGCTTAAATTACACAAAAATAATAATGAAAAATCATAATGCCAATATTTCAATTACTGGATAGTTGGAATTATTAAAAACAGTAATAATTGGAAACATTAGTTGATTATTTTCATAACATTAATTGATGTAATTTAGTTGTGATTAATCGATTAGTTTACAATACTACTCAATGCTCATAGTAATGGTATCAATCATGCAACTCCATTGTGAACGTAGGAAAATATATATTGATTTTGCTGCTGAAAATGCACTCTGTAGTAGGGGTATTCATCAAAACAAGAAGTGAGAAAATAAGGGACAGATTTCAGTATTGAGTGTAAAAGTGTTTTAGTTCAAATTCTGAAAAAAGCTGCAAGAAAAATAACTACTAACAACATGCATACTTACTAGGAACATTAAATGTATTGACCTCAGAAAAATGGTAACAGACAAAAGTGAATGCATATATAGTTTCAAGAATATTGCAAATTCATATAGATGGCAAAATAATGGGTATGGAAAAGTGTGATGAACTAATTAGGCAGTTTGAGTAATTTCTTGATAGCAATGTGCCTAAGCTGTTACTATCTTCAAAACTTTGAACCCAGTAGAAAATACAAGTGTGGACACATCCTTATATGCACAAGGGCATCTGTCAATCATATGCAAAGTGTTAAACAAGAAAGTGTGGAGTAGGGCTTGAGCGAGGAAGGTAATTTATTATCACATTTGCGTATAGGCTGTCAAAAATGACGGGCAAGTAGTATAACCTAACGTCACATTTCATAGTTAACTGATATAAATTTATTTTGTAAAATCACACTTGATCAACAAAGAGGCAGTAAAGTAAAGTCAAGCAGTCAAACGTCAGTAAATTCCTTTGTGAGCCAATCAAAATTAATATCATTCATGAAATAAATTTGTGGCTGATTCATAGCATCCTAAAAAAATAACTTAGATTAACAACTTCTAATGTATAGAAAAGCCAGTGCGCTTTAGTAACACAACCTTCCAACAATGGCTTTTGTATCATGTTGCTTAGCAACAAAAGTATAACCTAATATTATTGTTAGCATATGTACTGAAAGTATTAAATGAAATGTATAATTTAGAGTCTCCATTGGTTAAAGAAGTTTGCTTTTTATTAAAAATGTTGGAGATATAACAGAAAATAGCATAATTCAGAAATGATTTAAGTTTAAAATTTAATCAATGTTTTTTACTTTCATGATAAATTGTATGTACTTGGCTCTAGGCTAGGTGATCCCACACTATGTCTTTAGGCTTATTATACCAACATTTACTACATTTATAAGGTTTCACAGCCCCCTTGCACCCCCATCACTAAAATCGTAATGGGCAGACAGTAGTCGACATATTTCATTAGTAACAGTTGTCATCACTGTTTGTGATAAAATAACCATGACAAAACCAAAATTCTATCCAGTTAATCAGAGAATGATTAGATTTAAATTTCATACTGTTAACTTACAATGTAACATCTTTCAAAACACCTTATGAGTTGTGTATCCTTGTGGCAAGGAAACATCATTAAATGAATGCCCAATACCAAGCATTGATAAGTTGTCATTATTTATATTTAACTTCAACTAATAAAATCAATTTACTTTGCTTAATGCTTTTACTAGTGTAAAGTGAAAGGTAAAATTTTTAAATTTAGTTGTTTGTAAATATATTTTGATTCTAACAATTGCTTCTATAATTACCAAAAAGATATACTCATTTAAAATTCTTACAGAGTAGATACGATGTAACATACTTTAGCTTTTTTTTTCTTTTATTAAAGCCATGAAATGCCCGCAGATGAATGTCCAACACCTAGTATTGACACATCACCTAATAGTTTGTGGAGAATTGAAGAAGACAATCTGAAAATGGATCAGACACTGGGGAAGGTATGGGAATACTTGTTTTGATGTAAACAAAATTATGCATTTGATAATCAGTGGCATAAACCAATCTATAGATATGAAGGAGAAATGTATGTATAGAGACTAGTTTTAAAAAAAGTACAGAATTTTTATTTTTCATAGTGGATATATGTTGTATGATCCAAACTCTTCACCCTTTGCGTAGTACATGTCCATAGTATGGTCCTATTGACTCTTGTACCACTAGCACGGGCTCTTTTGAATTCACATGCTACTTGATAGTATGCCAGCTGTATCAGGCAAACATCTGGTGCTAATGTATTGGCAGAAGTAAACAAAGCTGGTACACATCCACTGGTGTGGTCTCTGTTAGTTACTTCTCAATTCACATGCTACATGGTAATATGCCAGCTGTATGAGCCATATTCCTAATGGATTGGCAGAGGTAAACAAAGATGGTACACATCCACTGGTGTGGTCTCTGTTAGTTACTTCTCAATTCACATGCTACATGGTAATATGCCAGCTGTATGAGCCATATTCCTAATGGATTGGCAGAGGTAAACAAAGATGGTACACATCCACTGGTGTGGTCTCTGTTAGTTACTTCTGAATGGAACCTTCAGTAAATAAAGATTTCAAAAAACTGTTGTCAGTCATAATGTGATGAAATTTTACACTAACCACCGATCATTAGATCTTTGAATTTTTGCACTTGATTTTGCTGCATGGTCAGTATGTTCAAATTAAGTCTGAGTGAGCTAAACAATTGGCAGAGGTAAACAAAGGTAGTTTTTGATTTTCTTTAAGTATTTTAATGATGTAATTTTTTTATTTTTTTGAAACATCAGTTTGTGTTTTTAATCATTTTACAAGTCTTTGAGCAACATATGGTGGCATGTATTTTTTTGTGGATGTAGTATTTAAGAATATTTTTACTGTAACATGAAGCACATCTAATTAAATGAAATGAGGTTGATTTTCTTTTCTTTTTTGCATACGAGGATGAATCACAACTGTTGCCTTTGAATATGCTTAGGAATGAATGTAATATTAACACATAAGTCTAAAATAATGGTAAAATTAAGATGTGAGGGCTTTCTATAATGTGTTTCCTGTCATGGGATATGGAATAATAATTGGTCATACAAAATATATTAACCCTTTCGAGATGGATCACAGGTGAAAGGCCATGTCATC